GGGTGCAGACCATGCAGCAGGGATGGTGTAGGTCCTTATGCCGCCTGCCTCTGACACCTTGCCTGCCCTTCTCCTACTCCATCAACCCACAACTTCCTTTCTCCCCAACCCCTGCAAGGACCTAGAGATGTGCTGAGGGGTGCAAGTCAGGGCGGTCCCAACTGTGTATTATAGAAAGCTAAAGTTCACTTAAATCAATGGGGACATTTATTGGGAGGTGCCTTTGACATCACACCTGGGGAAGGAAAGGGTAGAGCTAGCCTGGAAACCCTAGGGCCATGGAGGCCACTGCAGGCCCTAATGGAGTTTGAAAACCCACCACAATGGACTCTGATGGCCCCCGGACAGGGCTTCCATCCTGAGACTAGTCAGCCATTCTGGGCAGTCAGGCTTATGTTAGAACGTGGCAGAGAAGGGCAGAATTGTTGGGAAAGGTGGAAGTCTGGAGGTTTCTTCTATGGTGATGATAAGAATGAGGGCATCTGAGCTGGGACACAGTTGAGGGTGTGGCACTAAGGAAATAGGGTTATTTGGGGGCTGTATAGCTGAATGCTGAACGCAGTTGCCCTTAGCTCTCCTCCTCTGGGAATCCCCAGAGCCATCAGCAGCTGGGCCCATTCTCTCAGGCAGGGGGCCAGGAATCTGTTCTCCAGAAGTCTGACCAGCCCTAAAGGGAAGATCTGAGATACGAACATTATGACACCCACGCCCCTCGCCAGATTTCCCAGCAGTGAATCTTGCATCAACCAGCCCTACCATGTGCTTAGAACTTCCAGTCAGCCCACTTTGAATCTGAACAGACAGCTCAATGTCATATGGCTAAGAAAAGACAAAAAACTGCATCTTGAAAGAAACAGACTCTGTGGAGACGGAAATTTCAAAAAATAAAAATAAGACTATTGCTGGCTTCAGAGAGAAGGAAAAAAATATTACATCCTTAAAACAAGAACCAGCTATTTAAAAATTATTCAGCACAGGCATATGCAGTATGGCCTTGCTCTGTCAGCTGAGCTGGCCTAGAAGCAGTGACATCTCAGTAACAGCGAGCATACCCAGAGCCCAGATCTTGTTCCCTAATGTTTTTCGCCATAAAAGAAACCAGGGATCCCTGGAGAAATGGCTGATTCTAGGGCTGGGGCAGGGTATGGACAAGACAAGCCTGGTGAATATGTAGTGTACACACGGGGCTATGTCAAAGAGATGAGTATTTGGAGCAACAAAGTTACATAGTAATGGATATGACTCAAAATACAAAATAAATATGGTTCGTACTAATATAAATAAATGGGAAAGAATAGACAAGTCTGTGCAGAAGAATTCCAAATAATTTGTGTAGATAGTCCTCTCTCTCGAGGTGAAACAACACCCTACCCTTTAAGTGTGGGCCAAGCTTAAGGACTTCCTTCCAAAGAGTACAATATGGAGAAGGAGGAAAATAGAGGACCTTTATAGTAGAGAAACCTGGCTCACACCTCAGCCGGGTGGTCAAGGCCACACGCCAGTGGTAAGATGTGGTTAATATTGATTGCACCCATGATACGAAGGGATGAGAAGGGCACTTTCTTTCGTGATCTTCCTCCTGAAAACCCATAACCCCAGTCTAGCCATGAGAAAAGCATTAACCCAATTGAGGGACAGGCTACAAAGCACCCACCAGTAGTCTTCAAAGCTGTCAAGGTCGTTAAAGACAAAGTCTGGGAAAGTCTCACAGCCAAGAGGAAACTAAGGAGACATTAATGTATCTCAGGACAGAAAAAGGCCATTAGATAAGAACTAAGGGAATACAGAAAACGTACAGACTTTAGGTAATTAAAAAATATATATTCAATAGAGCAAAAAGAAAAAATCTTCAAAAATTAAATCATGTTGAAGCCAATGAAAAATCTTAATAGCAGGTTGGGAGATAAAAATTGAAGAAATCTCTCAATTAGGGCAAAAAGACAACGAATGAACAATAGAAAAGGTAAGAAATTGGAGGCCAGTCCAGCAGCTTCACACTCAGAATAATAGACACTCCAGACACGACAGAGAAACAGAAATCCACAACTAAGTACTTCAAGAAAACTTCCTAGATCTGAAGGGCACAAGTTACCAAACTAAATCAACTCTAAATGAAAAGTGACTCTAGGCAACTTGCGGTATTTCAGATCACAGGAAACAAGGGCACAAAAAGGGCACCTACAAAGACATCGAACTTTGGACTCCTCAGTAGCAACACTGGGAACAAGACAATGAAGCAATAAAAATTAAAATTCTGCAGGAACACTTTTTTATGACATCGAATTCTGCATTTAGCTAAACTGTCCAGTGTAAGTTAAAAAAATAATTTCCACACCTGCAAATTCTCAAAAAACTTTCCTTCTGCTGTGGCCTGAATGTGTTTCCCCACATTCATATGTTGCAATCCTAACCCCCACCCCATGTGATTATTAGGAGGTGGGACCTTTGGGAGGTGATGAGGTTGTGAGGGTGAAGCCCTTGTGATTGGGATTAGTACCCTTATCAAAGAGGCCCCAGAAGGCTTCCTTGCCCCTTCTGCCATGTGAAGACAGAGCAAGAAGGCTGCTCTGTACAAACCAGGAAATGGGCGCTCGCCAAGAAGACTCCAGATCTGCCAGTGCCTTGATCTTGGACTTCCGAGTCTTGAGAACTGAGAAATAAATGTCTGATTTTTATAAGGTGCCAGGGCTGTTAGAGCAGCCTGAACTAAGCTTTCAAACACCTTTTCTCAAGAAGAATGTGCTTCACTGGAACAATAAAGGAAACTCAGAAGAAGGAAGACAGGTACAGAAAGCAGGAGCCTAACACAGAAGACCTGGCCCGGGAGGCCCATGGAGGATGGCGAGAAGTGATTCTGGGGTGACAGCTCTGCACAGGATGTGGAGGGTAACTGAGCCATACTGAGCAGTGCAACCTGTGGGGTGAACTGTCTTCACCAAGACCCCATTTCCATCAGGCCATCTTTAGCCTGAGGACAGAATGCCCAGGAGAGCCAGGCCTAGGTTCTCAGCAGTTCTTGGTTTGGCCATATGCTGATAAGGGGCTCTCCCCTCCTCTGCTGAGGATGCTCATCACTCACAGAAGTTTGCAACTTTCCCCCTACTGAGAGCTGGAGGCAGGCCACGGTGAGCTTGGAAGCAGGAAGTACAGGGCAGCCCCCTCCCTCTGACTCTATTTCTGCTGCAGGTCCAGTGCCTAGTCCCCACCTTGGCCCTGCCAGGTGCCTGACGGTGCTGAGCCCTGTGTTTCCTAAGACTTTCTTGAGACCTTGCTCATGACTTCCCCAGGAGGGGCCTTGACAGCTCCCAGAGGAGCAGGAGTCAGACCATGCCCTGGAGACTGATCCACTCACCTCCTAGAACAGGCGTCCCCAAACTACGGCCCGCGGGCTGCATGCGGCCCCCTGAGGCCATTTATCTGGCCCCCCACCGCACCTCTTTCATTGGTGGTCAGTGAGAGGAGCACAGTATGTGGCGGCCCTCCCAGTGGTCTGAGGGACAGTGAACTGGCCCCCTGTGTAAAAAGTTTGGGGACGCCTGTCCTAGAACCTCTGTCCAGTGGAGGCAGGGCCGCCCTCTCCTTGCTCAGCCAGCATGCAGTTGCCCTCCACTTTCAAACTAGATAGGGTATTTGGGGATAGATACACAGGTGGAACTATAAAGAAAAGCAAGGGAGCCGGGCGCGGTGGCTCACGCCTGTAATCCCAGCACTTCGGGAGGCCGAAGTGGGTGGATCACGAGGTCAAGAGATCGAGACCATCTTGGTCAACATGATGAAACCCCATCTCTACTAAAAATACAAAAAATTAGCTGGGCATGGTGGCACGTGCCTGTAATCCCAGCTACTTGGGAGGCTGAGGCAGGAGAATTGCTTGAACTCAGGAGGCGGAGGTTGCGGTGAGCCGAGATCGCGCCATTGCACTCCAGCCTGGGTAACAAGAGTGAAACTCTGTCTCAAAAAAAAAAAAAAAAGAAAAGCAAGGGAACAATTAGCACAAAAGTAAGAATGGCGATCACCTCTTGGGCATAAGGATGAAATATACTTTCTAGGTCTTGTCCAGAGAAGAATGTTCTGGCTAGTTTGTAGTCTCCTAATCTTGGAAGTTGTATTGCTCACGGATTGATTGGTAGGACAGAAACCATTCTAGGCATTCCCCTGAGACTGACCCAGGGCTGGGAGGACAGAAGTCAGGAAAAGCCCTGCAGTGCCTGGTTCCTGCCAGCTCTCCAGAGTTGGGATTTTGGAGGAGCCACAGGAAACCTCTGTTCATGGTCACCACTGCCTGGGATGCTGAGGTGGGTACATTTTGGGAAGCACCCGAGGGCCATAGCAGAACTCCCTGTCTGCTAAAGCCATGTTTCTATCTGCTTCTGCCAGAGAGAAATACAAAATATGCTTTCTGCCATTCAACCATCTTCCAAGTCTGCCATGAGTGCCTCTCACTTATGGATAGCCTGGAAATGTAGTTCCCAGGCTTCCAGCCCCTGTGATACAGCGGAGGGCGTAGAAGGGGATGAAAATTTGCCGAGTAGCCCATAGGTAATCCTGAACAGGGTTTAATGAGATACTAGTGCTACACACATCAGTTGTCATGAAGACATCATTCAGGGTGTGTGTGATAGCACTTACGTGGGGAACCTAAATTCCAACTTTACAAAACTTCAGAACCCTCTGGCTTTCCATCCTCCTGCCAGATTGTATTAATAAAACCAAGAACTATAATAGGTTTATTGGGGGAAAATGCTGTCTCCAGGCTCTGGCCAACCGTCTCCAGGTTTAGTGGCCCCTCTACTTAGTCCCAAATCGCCTGCATTTGTTGTATCCTAGAAAACAGTCCTCATTTTCCTACTAGAAACCCACAGGTCTCAGGTGTGGAAGAGGCCAATGGCTACCAACAAACAGGGCTGCCCCTCCAAACACTGCTGAGCTCCTGCACAGTCCTCAAAATCCAGAGCACACAGGAAGAATGAGGATAACAAAATGCAAACACACAAGACAAAAAAACTGGTATGTTCTTTATTGTCCTAGCATTGCATAGTACTTTGTGCACGCTTTTAAATAGAGAGCAGAGTTGCCCACTTGAAACTACTCTCTTGCATGGGATATTTCAAGCTGTTTTACTATGGACAAGGAGCAGGGACCAAAATGCTGCCTGGACTTAAAAAGAGCCATGATCAGATTAAACAGAAGTTGGAGAGTTGGAGAGATTTGGGCCACACACAAGAATAAAATGGAGGAGGAGGCTGAGATTTCAACTGGACTCATAAAAGGCATAGGTGGATGGCTGGAGGGGCTTCATGGATGTCAGGGAACAGGATTTAGGAGCAGCCTAGAGAGGAAAGTGAAGGAGAGAGGAGTCCAGAGGGCCAATGCCTTGTGCTCAAATCTGAGATGAATGCCACCTGCCAGGAGCAAGCCTGGAGACAGCGCATGGGTAGCTGGGATGAACAGTTTGGCCATTACCATGGCTACAGAAAGCCACATACTAGAAAAATAACTTAAAAGCTATACAATCGTCATTATAAATATTTTGTGTTTTAAAACTAACTCTAGTGTTGGTTATAAAAGGTTCACAGTTACTCTGAAGAGAGCTGTATCTCTATTGCACGATAGTGGAGAAGTCTGCTCTGATCCCCATGTGTAAACAATGATTCTCTTCTCCTCTGGCGACTTCAGGACACAGAGAAACAGTATCTGCTGTAAGCAAAAGCACTTGGGTAGAAGGCACGTGGAAACTGTCAAACTCTACAGGAAGATGCAGAACAAGTTGGATGCCCACTTCTCTTCCCATGTAGCATCACTGCTGTTGGGACAGGTCTGGAATCAGATTAAAGGTGGTGATGGTCTTGTGACGGTCTCATCCTATTCCACAGTTACAGACTTGGCCAGATTTCTGGGAAAGTCAACCTAAAATGTAAGAAAGTAGGTATTCAGGACCCCACAGATCTCAGCAACGTGCTGTATCACAAGGACAATTTTCAGAGTACTTGAAAATAAGGAGACAAATGTTCACCATGGTAACCTCCAACCAATCTGGAGACCTACTTCCTTAGTCCAGAAGCTTCATTTAACTGTGTAAGGTTTAGTCCCCCAATAAACATTGATTGTGCACCTGATGTCTGTCATGATTTGTTAACATGATTTTAAAAATATGGCTTATGCTTTTAAACACAGGTAACTTGATGTGTACTATTAAAAATTCACTTTTCTTGGAAGAATTTACATGAATTCCATTGTGACTTGTTGAAGGTGGAGTGGGAAGGAAATGTGGGAATGGTTCATAGATAGGCTTCTACTGTATCTGCAAGGTCTTATTACATTTAGATATTTAAAAAGATAAAACATATGACAACATATTAGCAAATATCAGCTCTGGATGATATGTACATATTCAGATATTCATTATATTCCTTGTATTGTGTTCTTTTAAAAGCTTCTCAAAGTTGTAATGAAACTTCTATTTCTTTGCATTATGAACTGTGTGTTCTTACACACTTGCTGTGAGATCATAAATTGGTTCTTTGGCGGGCGCAGTGGCTCATACCTGTAATCCCAGCACTTTGGGAGGCTGAGGCCAGCAGATCATGAGGTCAAAAGATTGAAACCATCCTGATCAACACTGTGAAACCCAGTCTCTATTAAAAACGCAAAAATTAGCTGGGTGTGGTGGTGCTCGCCTGTAGTCCCAGCTACTCAGGAGGCTGAGGCAGGAGAATCGCTTGAACCTGGGAGACAGAGGTTGCAGTGAGCTGAGATTGTGCCACTGCACTCCAGCCTGGCAACAGAGCAAAACTGTCACCAAAAAAAAAAAAAAAAAAAAAAAAAAATTGGTTCTTTTCTGGAACATAATTTGGCAATACATGTTAGGAGTCCAAAATGTTAGATAATTTGTTAGACTAAGGACAAATCTTAATGTGGGACAACGTAACAATGTTGTATGTACAAGGATGTTTGCTGCTGTGTTATTTATGAAGACAAAAAATTGAGAACAGTTTAAATAGTAGAAGATTGGCTAAGTAACCATTAAGAAAATCATGTTATAAGATTGTGACGGAATACTATGCAAAAAATTTTTTGTAGAGGTGGGGTTTTTTGCTATGTTGCCCAGATTGGTCTCAAACTCCTGGCCTCAAGCAATGCTTCCATCTTGATCTCCCAAAGTGCTGGGATTACAGGTGTGAGCCACATCGCCTAGCCAGGTTGTAATTTAACGTCATAATCTTCTCCATACATTTTGCAGTTTCCAGCTTGTTTTCTTGGAGGGGGCAGGGGTGGTTTAAGCTACTTTAAAAAGAAAGCTACTTTAAATGAAATTATTTCTCCTATGACTATTTAGTCCAAGTATTTAAAGAAGACAAAGGAACTTTGGGGTTATGTCTCTCCCCTCTGCTGGTAGGCGCAGTTTTTAGACATACGTCATATCCTCGGAGGACAGCCAGGTGGAAGGACAGAAGCTGAAGCGGAATCACGCTCAGAATGCCCTGGAGGCAGTCCACAGTGTGGGGCAGCTCAATCGTCTTATATGCAAACTTGGAACTTTCAGTATCGTCCTTGGAGCACAATATAATGGGGCGACCCTAGAGCAGAGAAATAGGATCATAAAATAGATCATCTCTGAAAGAAGCAATCCCTGACACACGCAGCCTATCTGGAAGCTATGTTACTGTGATGCGAACAGTCCTCTTTTGTATTTGCTGAATCACAGGTGAGGTGGTATGTGTGGGACACAAATGCTTGGAAAGGACAAAGTGTCTGATGCTTTTTGGTGTGTTTCTGCCCCTTCCCTGGTAAGGACATCACCATCCTGCTGCATCATTTGGCACCCATTTGTACCTTGCTGAGAGCAGGGCAGACTCACTCCTAACTCTAGTGGGGCTCATAGTCCAGTGGTGGAAAACAAAAACCTAGACAAGCAAACCAATAAATAAAGATGAATTCCAAAGAAATGCCACCACGGTGAGAAAACAGGATAATCACATCCTGTGACTGGGAGACTGGTGAGGTCTCTGAAGCTCTCTCAAAACAAGAGTCATCTGAATTGAGCCCTACATGATGAGGGGCCAACTCTCAGCAAAGCATTCTGTGGGAAGGGCATCCCAGACAGCAGGAACAGCCAGCGCAAAGGCCTGGAGGCAGGCTTGAGCACAGCACGAGTGGGAAACAGAAGGAAAGCTGGAGTGCCTGGAACTCCGAAACGAGGAAAGGGCCAGATGACGCAGGCCTGTGGGCCTCTGTGGCTTGACAGGAAGGTATGGGAGGGAGGGTTTTCAGTGGGGAAATAATGCAACTGTGATTTATACCCTCACTCTGACCACGGTACTGAGCCAGGTGTGGGAGCATCTGGACGGGGCACCTTGTTGGATTTCACCTTCCTGAAACTTCATGAACACTGCCCTTGCACCTCAGGGCAGCTGCTGTGTACAAAGCATTTGGTTGGTCTTTGTGGCTGGTTTCAGGGAGGGAGCTCCTAGCCTCTGGACTTCCCCATATGATAGACGCATCTTTTTATCTATGAAGGATCCCTTGGACTATACCTGACTTGATGCTAAGGAGGTAACTCATGATGTGCCTGCAGATAGTTCCCAGGATGCGGTCTCACCCTGCCAGAAAGGCCAGCCACATGATTAGAGGGTTAGGGCTTTGAGACACGAGCCAGTCAGCCTGACCTCCCAACCTCCAAGGACAAAAGTGGGGCTGGTCACTGATTCAATCATATGGCCAGTGGTTCACTCCATCCTGCCACTTAATAAAACCGCAATACAAACTCTGGACACTGAAGCTAGCAGCTCACGGGAGCTTCCTGGTGATGCACAGTGATGTGCGGGAGAGTGATACATCCTAAGGACACAAGCTCCACATTTGGGGCCCTCACACCATGGGTTCATTCTTCCAGGTTGGCTGTGATTTTTGTCTTTTATAATAAAACTGTAATAGTATTGTGATTTCCTGAGTTTTATGAGTTGTTCTAGAAAATGAATGAACTTGAGGGAAGAGTGGGAAGAGTAGGAATCCTTCGATTCATAGTTGCTCAGATGTGTAGGTGGACCTGTGGCTTGCAGCAGGTGCCTGAAGCGAGGGCAGTCTTGTGTGAAGCTATGCCCCTGCCCTGTGAGATCTGACCTAACTCCAGGTAGTTCACATCAGAGCTGCTTGGCCACAGAACCTGGAGAAACCCTGCCCCAGGGATCTCCACCAGGAGTACCTCCCCTGAGCGCCAGGCCAGGATTTGGCACTGCTCATGGCAGTTTGGGTTCCTGGGCCCTGCTGAAGAGCCGTGTGGGACAGCTGCAGGCTGACCAATTCCTTTCCAAGTGCATGTACTCCTCACAAGGGGGCCCAGGGGAGAGTGTGTGGTCACAGCTACTCACTGGCCAGACCATCCATCCATCACTGGTGCTGGCAGACAGTGGTGAGGTGGGCATGCATGGAGAAAAGAAGGAGAGAGCTGGCCCAGTCCAATAGAGAGCCCTCACCTGGCGGGCTGTGACCTGCTGCAAGGCATTCTGGCATTTGGCAAAGCAAGGATCCTTCATGATGACCATGATGACGGGCATCTGCTTGTCAATCAGTGCCAGGGGCCCGTGCTTCAGCTCCCCAGCCAGGATGCCTTCTGAGTGCATGTAGGTTATCTCTTTAATTTTCTGGGAAAACAGGAGGTGAGATCAGAGTCACACTGGGCAGATGGGGCTGGAGCAGATCAGCCAGAGGGGAAGAAGGGGAACCAGAAGGATGATTCTGGAAGGCAGAGAGCCAAGGGTCACAAGGCAGACAGATGCCTGGAGTGGTTGAAAGCACTGAGGACACCAGCAAGGGCCTGGGGAGAGGCCTGGCTACTGTCCAGGGCAGGCACCAGCCCAGGACACAAAGTCTGTGTCCCCACACTGGCCCTGGGCACTGCTGCTCTCTCTCTCCAGTCCCACGCACAGCCACCCATTAGGACAGATAAGTCGGAGTCAGCCTAGCCCACCCTCTTCTCCCTAGCCAGCCACATTTATGATGACAGCAGTGTATTCTGCTTAGCTACACCTTCAGTTAATTATTTGATTAAGCATTCGCCCATTAATAACTTCTGAAGGGTGGTTCGAAGCAAAATTGCACAAACTGGGGTGTTAATTGAATTTCTTCCTATGTTCAGATAGACCCGTCTCTATTCAGTTACCACAAATCCACATCATTGAAACGGTAAGACGGTCAAAGAAATCATCTCTTGACTCCTAACTCTGGTGATCTGGGTCAGGGCAACACTATGAGGAGAGTGGCTGCACTCTGGAGGCTGTAGAAAGCTGGAGTGCCGGCCTCCCAGTGACCACAGAGGGCCATTGGCTCGTGCCAGCAGCCACCTAAACACTTTTTTCTTCAGACTCATGTGGTGGCTCAGTTCAATATGCATCTTTCACCAGCACATTCAGCTACTGCATCTGAGTCCCCAGCCCATCAGGCAGAGTCATCTGGGGGCTCACAGTGCACCCCCAGGCCTTGCCTCTACTGTATCCCCAGAAGCAGCACCTGCCTGTCCTTGGCTTCCTTTAACAGGAGTCAGAACCTCCAGGGGACAGATGCAGGAGACGGAGCTCACTGAGGTCAGGCCTGTGCTCCCCACCAAGACCAGGGAAACCAACTCTGCTTCTGGTAACCAGTTACAACTGGCATTGTCTTTCTTTCTTTTTTTTTTTTGAGATGGGAGTCTCGCTCTGCCTCCCAGTCTGGAGTGCAATGGTGCCATCTTGGCTCACTGCAACCTCCTCCTCATGGGTTCAAGTGATTCTCCTGCCTCAGTCTCCCAACTAGCTGGGATCACAGGCATGCACCACCACGCCTGGCTAATTTTTGTATTTTTAGTAGAGATGGGCTATCACCATGTTGTCCAGGCTGGTCTCGAACTCCTAACCTCAAGCGATCTGACTGCCTTGGCCTCCCAAAGTGCTTGGATTACAGGTGCAGGCTACTGCACCAGCCTGGCATTATCTTTCAAATGGGGGTAGTGGAGAGGAGATGGGAGAGGATGGCAGCCCAGCTGGGCCATGGTTAACGCCCTGGTCTTGGTGGCCACTGTGTCCTTACCTGGAGCACTGACCCTGTTACCTGGGCTGAGCATCTGCTCCATGCATGGCATGCTGACAGTGAGGAGAGGGCAAGCCCTAGACACAGGTCCCTGCATGGCTCTCTGTCCACCCTCTGGGCAGCCCCGTGGTCCTGGCACTTTGTCCCTGCACCAGCAGCTTTCTCTTTGCTGGCGTGGATCTTTATTATTGCAGGGGGCAAACGGCCTTTCACCAATTTTTGAAAATGCAGAGCCTTCAAAGTTCATTCCTTCAGGATCTCAAACTCCCCCTTGGAAGTCTGAGAGGTAGCAAGGAAAACTCTGCGGAGAACCCACCCTGCAATTTTGGTGGTGGTGGAAAAAAGCAAAGGCCACATGGACTCGGGTCCCCAAGGACTCAGGTCTGATTCAGGTCCTCTACGTCATCTTGAGTGAGATACTTAAGCTTTTGGAGGCTTTGTTTCCTCCTGGATGAGAGATGAATAGCATCTGCCAATCTCTCAGAAGCAGCTCATGAGGTCTGAGTGAGCTGTTTTAAGTGGACCCTGGCAGTGGCTGGACAGCTAGAGGGGCACAACCTAGGTGCCCTGTCCCTTTCTCTTCAGTAGATTGGGAGCTCCCTGGGAGTGGGCACCTGCCATGTCACCCATCTCTGTGTCCAGGGCTAGAAATCTGGTGGAGAACTGGTGCTTAGGGCAAGGTCACAGGGTTGGCCAAGGGGTCCTCAGGCCTGGCTCTCCCCAAGCCCACTGCCCTGCCCTCCTTCTGGCTGGTTCCTCCAGGTCTCCTGTGCCTGTCCTCCGTGGAGGTGGGGTCTGAGTGTGGCAGCTCACCAGGGCTCCTTCCAGGCAGGTGGCGTAGTTGTAGCCCCGCCCCATCACCAGCAGTGACCTCTGTGTGTAAAGCTCCAGGGCTAGGTCATGGATCTTCTCATCCAGCGACAGCACTTCCTTGATCAGCTCTGAGCCATGCACAGAGGAGAAGGAGAAAGCCCGTCACGCCAATTTTAAAGCAATATTCATGAAGACAAATGCTGGGGTTTAAGAGGACGTTTTGAAACTCACATCACTTAGTACCCATTGCTTCTTTGCATTCGTTTAAAACTTAGATTATAGGAAATAACTTGGGCTCCTGGCCAGGGTTTTGTTAGGGTGGGGATTCATATTGTGGAATACTTTTCTTGAGCACCAAGAAGGTAGGTGGGGAAGCATCATTTCTCACTCCATTTTGCAGGTAAGGCAACTGAGACTCAGAGATGTGAAAGCACCCTCTGAAGACAGAGCTGACATCGCCAGTTAGCACCCCTTTGCTGCTGTGTCTCAAGACAAAGTCCCTGTAAATGGGACCACTGGTTCTCAAATTGTTTGGTCTCAGGACTCCTTTATGCTTTTGAAAATTATTGCACATCCCTAAAAGCCTTTGTTTTTGAGTTAAATCCGTCAACATGTACCAGATCAGAAGGTAACACTAAGAAATTTAAAAATATTGATTCACTTTAAAGTAACAACCCTAAATCTATTACTACATTTTCAAAAAGAATTAGAAGAGTGGCACTGTTTTTTTGTTCTTGCAAATCTTTTTAGTGTCTGCCTTTTTTTTGGAGACAAAGTCTCACTCTGTCGACCAGGCTGGAGTGCAGTGGCATGATCTCGGCTCACTGAAACCTCCTCCTCCCAGTTTCAGGTGATTCTCCTGCCTCAGCCTCCTGAGTAGCTGCGACTACAGGTGCTCGCCACCATGCCCGGCTAATTTTTTGTATTTTTAGTAGAGATGGGGTTTCACCATGTTAGCCAGGATGTCCTCAATCTCCTGACCTCATGATCCATTCGCCTCAGCCTCCCAAAGTGCTGGGGTTACAGGCGTGAGCCACTGTGCCCGGCCATCGAGGCCATTCTTAAGTGAAACTGGGTGTGTGGTAGTGAAGGACACAATGACCAGCAGGCCTTCTCATGTGCTGGGAGTCAGGCACAGCCACCACTGCCTTTGCAAATGTAGACACAGGCAAAAAAAAAAAAGAAAAAAAAATTACTATAAAAATGTATTAGTATGTCAACAGTTTTGCTGAAAGGGCCTTGTAGACACCCAGGACGTGCGAATAACACCTTGAGAACCACTGATGTCAGAATTGGGTCCTGTTTTGCATGGTTACGTTCTGGCTTAAAGGAAGAATGCCTTTTCTCAGAAATAAACCTTCAGCATGCTGTCTTGGCCAGTGTCAGGCCCAGAAGGCCTGGAATTGACCACTCTCTATGGTGGCCTTCTCCCCACTGCCTGCTCTGGGGTTTGGCCCTGGTTCCCAGGGAGGCACTAGCTCCCACTGTCTCTGGGAGAGCATCCCCCAGAAGCCCCGTGATGTCTTGCCCCCAGTGAGTGCTCCATGCCAGCCTGAAGGAAGGCTGGCTCATCTCCCCCTCTCAGAGCTGCACACAGAGGTCTCTCTCCTACTCTGGCATGTGAGTGGCTGAAGGAGGTGAGCTGCTGCTTATCCTGGCAGGCCAGGGATGGCATACGGGGCAGGGCATGGTGCTGGTTTTTAATATCTATGTGGTGGATGAATGAAAGAAGGGGAGGCCATGGTCCCGTAGGAGGTCATGATTCAGTGTGACAGACATTGTAGCTCACCAGCTACAACAGCTGGGACTGTGCTGCTGCCCAGCAAGTGGGGAAAGTGTGGTGGCGCTGCCAAGGAGTGCCTGCCATAGGAAGGGCCTGGGGCCAGCCATTTGGTTTTTCTTGGGTACTTATTGAGCACCTACTGTATGCCTGCCCTGTGCTAGACACCAGCTGTCCAGTAGCGGATCTGGTAGACATGGCTGTGTACTTGCCGAGCTAACTAACACATTAGTGGTGGGGAGACAAGCCAGTCACTAGGTGAACAGGCAATTTCAGGTCATGAGGGGTGTTATAAAGAAAACAAGCATGCTAAGGTTTCACAGAGTGCTGAGGCGGAGGCTGGGGCCTCTGTTAGGTGTGGCTAGGGAGGGTCTTAGGAGGTGACATTTGAGCTGAGCTTTGGGAGATGAGAAGCTGTCGGTTGTATGCAGAGCTGAAGGGAGATGGTTTAGCAGAGGAACGAGCCAGCGTGAAGGCCCTGCGGTGGGAAAGTGCTCGGCACCGGCACCGCTGAGGACCAGGTCAGGGAGGCAGCCCAGGGTGGGGCAGGGCTGAGCAGGATGAGGTCAGAGGCAGCAGGGGCTCCAGGAGGGAGGTGGGATGGCTAGAAAGTTTTAGGAAAAGGGAGTAATGAACAACATCCTGTACAGGCCAGAGTCAAGGGAGAGTGGCTGGCAACAGTCCACTAGATCTGAGAACACGGACAGCCGAACTCTGGAACATACCAGGTAAAGATCTCAAGCCACGGATGATCTCTCGCCTCCTGTTTTGTAGTGAAATTCGGTCTTCAGACATCATCAAACCAAACATCACCAGAGAGATGAACTGACTCGTATAAGCCTGTGCACAAAGAAGGAGGTGGCAAGGACCTGACTTTCACTTTTTACATCAACTATGCTTTATTTTATTTTTTGAGATAGGGTCTACTCTGTTGCCCAGGCTGGAAGGCAGTGGTAAGACCATGGCTCACCGCAGCCTCAACCTCCTGGGCTCAAGTAATTCTCCCACCTCAATCTCCCGAGTCACTGGGACTACAGGCACCACCTGTAGTGTGTATTACCTGCTTGGTTATTTTTTAAGTTTTATTTATTTATATTTTTATTTTGTTTTGAGACAGAGTCTCATTGTTGCCTAGGCTGCATTGCAGTGGCGCGATCTCGGCTCACTGCAATCTCCACCTCCCAGGTTCAAGCAATTCTCCTGCCTCAGCCTCCCAAGTAGCTGGGATTACAGGCACGTGCCACCACACTTGGCTACTTTTTGTATTTTTAGTAGAGATCGGGTTTCAACATGCTGGTCTTAAACCCCTGACCTCAGGTGATTTGCCCGTCCCCTTGGCCTCCCAAAGTGCTGGGATTATAGGTGTGAGCCACCGCACTCAGACTGTTTTATTTTTGGAGGGACGGGGTTGTCCAGGCTTGTCTGGAACTCCTGGGCTCAAGGGATGCTCCTGCCTCGGCCTCCCACGGTGCTGGGATTCCAAGTGGGAGCCCCGTGCCAGGTCTAAAGGACTTTAAAATAAGCGTCTCTAAGGTGCTCAGAGATCCACAGGACAACATAGACGAAACATAGGAAAAGGACATGGGAATCAAATGAGACTAAATGAAGAGATGGGAATCCAAGACGGGAGGGGAAAGGGAAGGCAGAAAAGGGGTGAGGTGGGAAGGGGAAAGAGCAGGGCGCAACTGCCCAGTGCATCCAGGCCAAAGGAGAGCGGCCTCTGGGGACCTTGCAGCCTCTGGTGCACCCCCGCCCCCCGCCATCCCCACCACGCTCTCTCTGGGAGGGGGGCCCGTGGCTCCTCCTACCTTGGTGCTGGCCACACCGATCTCTGGCCCTGCATTGATGTGGACGCCGCAGTCGGTCTCTCGGGAGATGGAGCTGCCCACGGTGTTGGTGACACCCACAGTCAGGGCGCGGCGGTCTTTGCAGTAGCGCAGCGCCAGGAGTGTGTCCGCGGTCTCGCCTGCCGCACAGGGGCCCTCTCAGTGCCTCACTCCGCCAGCCTAAGCCCTACCCCAAGCCCCTTCCTCTTTCACATCTGGCTCTTACATGGAAATCAGTGCCCAAGACACAGCCAGCAGGTGTTCAGAAAGGCAAACACATGCTCAACCGTTTTTTTGGTTGACTCTTAGATTCGAGATTTGTCACTATTTATGTGGCAAGCACTTTGGCATTTAAATCTCGTGACAATCCCATAGGGACCATCATCCCCATTTTCCTCTTGAGGACGAGGGCTGAGAGACAGGAGGAAATTGGTGCTCTGATCAAAGCTATACAGCTGGTGACAGGTGGGCCTGGCCCCCAGCAGCGTTTTTGCAACTCAAAGCTGCCTTATTCAGAATGTGCTGAGATGGAACAGATTTCACATTCGAAAAGCAGGAATGTCCCCAAGTGGTGTTTCTCAAATAGATCCTGTTTGAAAGGAAACACTTCTTACAAGCCTGTCAGTGTGGACTCAAATTGTTTTTAGAATAAAGCTAAACAGCACAAACTCCCTCAGTTTCTCCCTCCTAACCAACTCAAATTAAATTCAGCATAAGCCAGACTATAAAATCAAAACCATTGAAATCCTCATGAGTCGGGAGGCTGTTCTGTCTGCAGGGCCACTGCTCCTGGCTGTATCTGTCCCAGCTTTGCAGGCAGGCAGGAGCTGCCTGGTGCTGGGTGGCCCCAGTTCTCCCTTGCTTTTCTTTCTTCAGAGCCCTGAGTTATGGCACTGGAGTGTCATGGGGTACTGTGGTGGCAGTGGGGGAGAGGGGGTTTGATCTTTTATTACCCTCGCCCTAGGGTTTGATGGTGTTTTTTCAATTTTATTAAAGGGCTGACTTCTATACACAGAGGGACTTGGAAGCTGCCACTGCATTACTTTCACATTAAGTCCACCTCTGTTCTTTTGTTAATGTCTCCCACCAATTTATAAAATATTTTTACACTCTGATGGGATCATAAACCCAAAGGCGAACACAGGTCATAAGGTGGTGGGCGAGATGATTGGTGTGTCTGTACTGGTTTTTCTTCGCTTGTCAACAAAATGGAAATGGTATTTAAAACTGAAAATGGAAGCAGTACTAAAAGTCCCAATAGAGGACAGGTGCGGTGGCTCACGCCTATAATAATAGCACTTTGGGAGGCTGAGGCAGGTGGATCACGAGGTCAAGAGATCGAGACCATCCTGGCCAACATAGCGAAACCCTGTCTCTACTAAAAATACAAAAATTAGCTGGGCGTGGTGGGGCACACCTGTAATCCCAGCTACTTGGGAGGCTGAGGCAGGAGAATGGCTTGAACCCAGGAGACGGAGGTTGCGGTGAGCCAAGATCACGCCACTGCACTCCAGCTGGGCAACAGTGCAAGACTCCATCTCAAAAAAAAAAAAAAAAAATCCCAGTAGATAATAGAGCATTACCATCAATATTTTAGTCGTGGTAATGACAGTGACACTGTGGTTAGATGTTTTTCTTTTATCATTTTAATCATACATCCTGAAGTATTTATATGGATGAATATCATGATGTCTGGGATTGGCTTCAAAGTAACCCTATGGAGAAGAGGGCTTAATGTAAGTGTGTCTGACCAGCACCAGCTGGGCTGGTTGATCAGTGCTGAGGCTAGGCAATTCATTATATGAATATCTCTACTTTTATAAAGGTTTAGAATTCTCCAGAATTAAAACATTTCAAAAATCCTCCATGAGCTCAAGGAGATTCCAAGCCTATGGCCCTGGATCACCTACCTCCCTGAGGCAGCTGAAGAAAACGTCCAAGCCTGGTGTCGGGATGGCACCAGATGGGGTGCATTTAGCTTGGCCCTAACAGGGAGTACTACCTCCCCACACCTCCCCCTGCCGGGCAGCATGGGCACTGCATGCCACAGGCAGCACGGCTTGGCCACTTGGGTACAGAGCCCACACTGGGTCCTCCACATGACTCTCAACCTAACAGAATGTTAAAGGAGATGTTTTTTCTATTAACATAAATCAGCAAACATTTATGAGCACCTCAGTAAGTGGTCCTTGAAGTGTTGGATAGGCAAGAAGAGAGAGAAGCCACAGGGCAGGAGAAAAACTAATAGGTATGGATTTCCAGCCTAATTCCGGCTCAGTCACGCCCTGGCGGCATGGCCTTGGACATCTCTTGCCCTCCTCGTACAAGAGTGACAGTAATCCTCAGCTCTAAGGGTTAAATGACCTGCTGCAAGAGAGGGATTGCAGCACAGGGTGGCCATGCAGGGGACTTAATTGGATGAAGGCGAAGAGGAGAGACCCCCGAGCTGACCTGATGCAAGGCTAGCCACGTGACTATGTCCCTTACCTGACTGGCTGATGAAAAAGCAAACATCATCCCTGAACACAGGTGTGTTTCTGTCCAGAAAATCGCTAGCAAGTTCAACCATCACAGGGAGCTCAGTCAGTTCCTCCAAAACTTGCCGCGTCTGAAGCCAACAAACATGGGGACTAAAGTCAGTCACAGGCACGACACGGATATGGAGCAGCTGAGCTTCTAGGGACAGTTTGTGACGTGCAACCTCATTGTCCAGGTGGCGAGGGGACTTCAGTTACCCACAGGCCACCTCGAATATAAAAGAGCTCCGTGTCACTTCTCACGCTAGCTCATGGGAATGGGTACAATGGCTTAGCCAAATTCAGAAGGCCAAGAGTGATAAAACTGAAGCCCAGTGTCTGGCCCTAGACTGCTGTTGATTTCCCCACGCACGTGTCACACTTACAGCCACGGCAGCGTGGTAGCTGGTTCCACAGCCAATCACGATGAGCCGTCGGCATCGTCGGATCTCCTTCAAGTGGTCCTTCAAGCCACCCAGGAGCACTGCAGGGCACACGGCAGAGTGTTAACGCTGAGTCTACACAGTGACCGCATTCCCTGGGACTAGGCATAGGCAGAGGCTCCCCACTGAATGTAGGAATTACCTGTGTTGGTCTCAAAATTCACCCGACCTCTCATAGTATTGAAAACGGATTCTGGCTGTTCGAAGATCTCCTTCTGCATAAATGCACTGAAGTTACCTGGTCCAATAAACATCTGGTCAGTTTTAATTTCATTATGTTTCCTGCTTTTCGTTAGGAATAGTTCACTTCTTCTCCTTATGCAGTAGTGATCGCAACTCCTGTAAAGTTTACTGCAGATTCCCAAAGGCATCCCCAGGGATCATCCTGCCTGACATGGACCTTCAGAGGGAAGCAGGTCAGAAATCATGACTATCATCTCCAATTTGCATATTGGACCCTGCAGGCTGAGGAAGGGAGGGGTTTGCCAGAGGATGCAACTAACAAATGGCCTGGCTGGTCCCTCTGGGCTGTGCTCCCCTTAGCAAGACCAAAAGAAAGTAAAGTGCTTTAATCCCAAAAAGCCACCAAGTTAGGGAAATACAGCTAAGCAGGCCCAAAGAAATAGGCAATTTTCCTTTTAATAAATACCCTCCTAGCTTCTGTAATAAAAACCTTTCCAGCCGCACAGGCATTTCCAGTGCTCTGGTTTGAGTGGGGCTGGATGGTGCTGACGGGACAGCGGGGCTGCAAGGTGTTCGAGATCCTGATGCAGCAGCTGCGCCTGACGCTCTGGAGGCGCCCACAGCGGGGTAGACGGTGTTCTCTAGGACACGCACACTCATTATGCCAACACTGCCGGTGCTCCCGGCCTGCCACCCATGACCTGGCGCTGGTGCGACAAGCGAATGAAGCAAGTGAGGGGAGTAAGGGGTGGCCACCGTAGGGGAAGGGCTGGGGAGGGACCATGGCAGACACAGGAGCAGAGAAGGACTCTCTGAGTGGGTAACATTTCAGGGGAGCTGGAGATGATGAAAAGGAACCAGTCCTATGAGAAGAACAGTGAACGCAAGGGCTGTGGCGGAGCACAGTGGGACAGAGGGTTGAGTGTGGTGGGACCAGGCTTTGGCTCTGGCGGTGTGAGGGTTTATGGGCTGTGGCGGGGAGTTTGGATTTTATTCCAAGAACAGTCGGAAGCCACTGGAGGGCCTTGAGCAGGGGGATGATCACAGGGGCTGATTCGTGTTCTTAAAAGTTTGCTCAGGCTGCACTGTGGGGTAGAGGTTGCAGGGAGATGGAGGTGGATGCAGACAGAGAGGCTCTCCTAGTAGGCAGAAAGTGTGCCCCCCACCCTCATTACTGCAGACCTCCCACCCAGAGGAGAAATGATGCCTGAGGGTGGGAGTGAGTCCTCCAGAGTCGGTGAAGGAAGGCAGCTGACACGCTGGGCTCAGTTCTAGCAGGGAGGACCTGCCACCTGGCTGCAGACAGGAGCACCCTTGGAGGCGCCAGGCCAGCCTCCCCACATCCCCTCAACTGTGCAAGCCATAGGACACCTGCAGCCCTGTCCTGGTGGCCACAGAGGGTGGGAGGGCTGTGGCCTTTACCAGGGCCAGGCAGAGAGTCTCAGGAGTGCTACCAGGAGGGTCAGCTCCCAAGGCTGCTGCACATGGACTCTCAAGGACACCTGCCTTTCATGATTTGTTGCAGTTCCATCTGCAAGGTCTGGATGGCTCGGGATGGGTCATCACTAGCCGAGCGCTTGACTCGGTGAATGGAGAGTTTCCCATCAGCCACTGCAGCGATGTCATCGTCCTCCAGGAAGATGACGCGGTTGGTGTGCTCTATGATAGCGCTGGGGCAAGGGAAACACAGGCATCATCATCAGCACCCTGCCCTGAGCAGTGTCAAGGCCGCAGCCCCTTGCTGTTCCCCATGTGTGGGGGCAGGTCATTGGCATTTTAGGAGGGACAGAGACGACATACTGAAAGCATTGATTTGCAGGTGAATCTTCCTCCTCTTCCCCACTCTTCCCTCCCCTCTCCAAGGAATTATTTTGAAGCCAGTCCCAGACATTATATCATTTCTTCTGTAAACACTTTAGCATATAGCTCTAAAACTACTTTAACCTACAATGCCACAATCATATCTAAAATTAATAGTTGTTTTATATCATCAAATATTCAGTATGTTCACATTTCTCCAATAATCTCATGGCTGTCTTTTTATAACTGGTTTCTTCAAATCAGGATCCAAACAATGTCATCTCTGGAGGATACATGAGAACCAACGCATTATTCTGAATCGTGTAGGGAAAGAATCTAAACAATCTGTCTTTCGGAACAGCCACATACTCTATGAAAGCAAGTTTCTCTAAGAAGTGATATAGCCAGTAAGGAAGAAATAATAGAATTATCAACTTATGAACTCCTAATTTTAATAGTTCTAATCAGGGGCCATCCATGGCTATTGAAACCAGGAAGTGAAAAGCTGAACGAAGCTTTATCATGGATGGGTAAGGCTGGCAACACTCAAACTCCTGATGGCTCTTAGCACAAAAAGAAAGATGGTGTGAGACATTACCTGCCTCCTGATGGAAGGACACACTATCAACTATGGAGTCTTGCCAAAAGAGATCAAACCTAAATAAGACCGAGCCTTTAATACTTGTAACCTCCAGTGTACAGAAAACACAGGGGACAGAGGAACGTGGTAAATGACACCAGGAGATACACTCAGCAAAATCCAGACAATGGGAAACTCATCAGGACAAAAGACCTAGTTTCCTAAACACGTGCACACGTGCACACAAAGGGGCCCTAAAAGTAATCTACAAGCTATGTTTACCAAAGAAACACAGGGTCATTGTGTTTATTTTTATAACTTTCTCTGTATGGAAAGGAATAATGACTTTTCTCCCTTGAGATCATCATACAAAGTGTCTTTTTAAAATAATTTTAAGTTTGAAATGTTGCTAAATGAAAAAGAAAGGTGATTAACGGTATATAGTTGTGGTATGACCCATCAGGTTGGGCTTGAAGGACTCTTAGAGAAAATACTCTCGGCCAAGCATGGTGGCTCACGCCTGTAATCCTAGCACTTTGGGAGGCCAAGGTGGGCAGATCACCTGAGGTCAGGAGTTCGAGACCAGCCTGGCCAACATGGTGAACCCCATCTCTACTAAAAATACAAAAATTAGCTGGGTGTGGTGGCAGGTGCCTGTAATCCCAGCTACTCGGGAGGCTGGAGAAGACCACACCACTGCACTCCAGCCTGGTGACAGAATGAGAGACCATTCAAAACAAACAAACAAAAAAAGAAAACACTCTCATTCTCTCCAGAGCCACACCCACATGTGACTGCCAGAAAATGAACACTTGAACTCCTGGTGCAAAGGTAAAGAGAGAAACTATCAAGGTTTAAGGCTCTAAGAGAAGTGGATCCAGCCAGATCCTAGGGAAGAAAGAGAAAGACGGATCACAAGCCACTGTACTGTAAAAAATATTTTAAACGAAACCCACTGCATAAAAAGCACAAATATGGAGTGACAAGAAGTAAAAATGGCCCTATCCTGTCTCCAAGAGATCAACACTGCTTACATTGTCGCATTAACCAACCATGTATGATGCCTGTGTGTTTTTTATTTATGCATGCATGTACATATGTTTGCTTAAATGTAATTATTTTATTTACAAAATGGGTAGTAACATAATCTGGTCATTAAGACCACTGGCCCAGGAGTTAGGCCTGAGGTGGACTCAGGGCCTGCCTCTTTACCAGTCCTGTGCCCCTGGGCAATACAGATAACCCCCTGGAGTTCCTGTCTCAGGTTCCACCTCTGTAAACAGGAGAGAGCTGTGCCTTTCCCAGAGGTCTGTAGTGATTACTGGATGGGATCCTGGCGAGGCCCACATACTGTGCCCTGCACACGCCGGCCACCGTTGCCCAAAGCTGCATAATGTGCTCACATCTGGGAGGGCTGCCCACCACTCCTCTTTCTCAGCACGTACTGGTTTTCTTGTCTCTCTACTACATGTGACAGAATCACTTCCCTAAGTTCCAAAAGCATAAGCAAAAGAATCTGGAGGGTCCCAGTTACAGCACGGAATTCACAGATTAATTTGGGGGAGAATCCATGTTTTGAAAAAATAACTTGTAATCATTAAATTAATTTTAAATGTTGAGTCCATTAATTTTTGAAAATAGCTACTCTGGAGGCTGAGGTAGGAGGATCCCTTGAGCCAAGGAGTTAGTTAAGTTAGCCTGGGCAACTTAACATGACCCTGTCTCAGAAAAAAAAATAAATAAATAAGATAAGAATATTAAGCCTTCCTACTGAAGAATGTGGACTCTCTTCCTATATTCAAATTTCTTACATTCTCATGGAAACTTTCTGTAGTCTTCTTCAAATATGTCCTGGAGTAGTTTTGTTAAAATTTACTTTAAGGAATGTAATCAAAGCATTTTCTTTCCAGCTGTGGTGAGTAGTAGTACTTTTTCGGTTCACTTAACGTTTGCAGACAGCCTCGTGCCTGGTCACATGAGGTGACACTGGAGAACAAGGTGAACGTGGTCCCACTCAGGCCAGACACAGGTCAGACGCTAAGGCCACGATATAGGATTTCCACACCTTTATTCCCAGCTGTCAGTACTATCGGTTCTAACAGACTTTTGGCTGGCTTTAAAAAAATGTGTAATAGTATTGCCTACAAATAACTATTTCCTCTCCTTTCAGGCATTCATGCTTTTTTTTTTTTTTTTAAAGAAACATCTACCCTATTTCACTGAACATAAGTTACTATTGATCGTTAAGATCACAATTATTTGACAAACTTCTAAGAAATAAAAGCTTCAACAAATTCCAGTGGCACAATGCCAATAACTACAGTTCTGTGTGTTTTTTTGAATCACTGAAAAAAGACCAGCCTCTCGTTGAAGGCATGTTCTAAGGGGCACCATTTGGGAAGCTCTGCCCCTACCTCAGCGTTAAGTACGATGCTGGCTGTGCACTTAACCAGGCCTTGCGTCCCTGTCACTCCCGTTTTCCAGGAGACCTGGCTTGGTGTCCTCCCTGCCTCACAGTGAGACTCTATTAAAAGCTGGTTGGGAAAGAGAAAGTCCATCAAGAATGGAAATACGTAACAAAGACCCAAGCCTTGGGTCCTTGAAGAAGGTACTAGAGGTGATTACAGGGGTTTTCTACTTCAAATAGCAGGAAAGTGTTCTGGTTTCTCGGTTTCTCTCTCTCTCTCTCTCTCTCTCTCTCTGTCTCTTCAAAATCATTATTTGGTGGACTGATGAGAATATGGACTTTAGAGTCAAATGAAATACTCCCTACATCTTGGCTCTGTCTTTCACAAATGGTCCCACATCAGGCAAAGGCAGGGAGGGGTGTGGGAGGGACTGAGGTGTGGAGACACTTGACCCATCTAAATTAGGGAGCAGGCTTTGAGCAGATCCAGACACCTGCTGCCTGAGAGAGGGTAGCACAGTGTACCCAGATCAGCTAGTTCTTCCAGAGAAGCTAGAGATCCAGATATTCCTGTGGCATCTCCCAATTTTCCAACACTGGCAACTAACCCATTTATTTTATGCAGGCTGAAAGCATTGTGCCCCCTAGTGCACCTGGCCTTTGGCCACCAGGGCTGCCCGTCACAGTCACACAGGTGCTCCTAGGACAAGGACTCCAGGCCCAGGGCCAGGGACAGCTGAACTCTGCTCTGGCCCTGCGACTTGCTGAGCCACGACAGCTCACATGGAAGGATGAGTAAGAATCTGCAGTGTTTAGGCAAGCATTCTTTGATTACATAATCCCAGGAAGGGAAGAGAAGAAGGCTCAGTTACCTCGCATCAGAAGCAAAGAAGAATTCCACGGCCTTGTCACCTACGGCGTGCAGGCAGGCGGAGCTGTCCAGCCTCTTCATCCGCGTCTTACAGATATTCTTCACATTCTCCAGAGTGCCTAGCAAATGGAGGAATGAGTTGCAAATTCCATTGGGATGTTTTGTTTGCATAACATGCAGCAGGGAACCAATTTCCCCTCTGAATATATGTGGGAGAAATTTGCAATTTTTAGCTTTGGCTGCGTCAGCCAAATCCTGTAAAAGATCCCCAAATAGCACAGTACCGCTGCAAAAGCATTTAAATGGCTACAGTGTGAGAGGAATGCAAACAAAAACAAACCAAAGAAGCGCTCAAATCAAGGCACAGTTGCCATTATACAACGGCACTTTTGTCTATGTTTGACAACATACAAAATCATGATACATTCATGTCCATAGTAAAAAGCTTTAAAAAAAAAATGGAGTCGAGTCTCAGTTGCACGAAAACCTTCTAGACCTGGAGCTGTGTGCCCGTTGGGTCTGGCTCAGAGTGGGGCATCCTTGCCTCGGAAGGGAGCTGACCGTGCCAGAGCAGCTGCTGAGTCCTGGGACGCCGGGCAGCAGCTGCGCTGTTCCAGTCCTTGTTGAGAAACTTACACGTCCTGTATAAGATGGGGATCTGTTCTGTAGAGAGCTTGTATTTGCTGCGGACTCCGATGAGCAGGGGGCTGCCTCTCCTGTAGGGAGGAGGCATCCAGTTACCCATCGCCTTTGACGCCCAGGGCTGGGTGTCTGCCCAGCATCTGAGGTGGGATCCCCACATCTAGCCCTTTCCCAGGGATGGAGGATCCTGTTTAGGTCCCACAGGATGGATGTGTGGAGCACAGGACCAAAAGGCCAGGTCCTGAGTTCCAGGACCCTGACTTGGCATCACCCACCTACCCAGTAAGCCTGGTAACCTTTCCCACCCCTGCCCTCCCAGGCCAGGCCTCCTGCAGTCCAGTCGAGTCCCCACATTTGACCAACCCACATGGCTAGACGGCAGAGGCTGAGTGTTCAGCAGTGGAGGAGGTGCTGCTGGGGCGCAGGGGCACTCGGGGTCTCCGCCCAGCCTCGGCGGCAGCACATCCCTACCACAATAGGGCTCTGCACCCACCATCTGCCCAAAGCCCCCTGTTGTTCCTTCCCTTCCCCTGGCCCAGTTCTCTGGCATTAGTGGGCACCAGACTGATTGACTTTTGTATATTCTCTACTTTGTAGGTGATACAAGGCAATTTCTTGGGTAGTTTTTGTCTCTGCCTGAGTGACACCCTGTGGATGAAGTTGAGCATCTTCACCCTGTACCAGGTAGACTTCATCATAAAGGGGACAGTGACTGCCACAGGCAGTATCTTGGGAAGTCTTCAGCCGGCCAAGGTGAAGGGCCCTCACTCAGGCCTCCCGTTCAGCATCTCTGTTTCAGCCACTGGAGCCCGGCTCTCTGAGTACCTCGGCAGGGAATCTTCAGGAAAGAGCCTTTAGGATATCTCCTTCTATTTACAACTTCTAGTGGTGCATGTGATTAAGATCTCATTATTTTAATGACATCTTGCCTCCAAAATCTGATCCTTTGCTCATTCGTATAAATTACAGTGTGCAAATAAAATTCACCATGGGTGTGCACAGAAAGAAGCGTCTCACTCTGGCAGTGCTCGCATTCTAAACCTGCGGTTCTTAGAACCCAGGCAGGTAAATTCTAGTAGTTAATAAAGGATGTGTGCCATTCCCCCTCTACACATTAATTTATTAACAAGAAGAACAGACGAACACTGTAATAAGACAATTTAAGAGAGCTGTTTCAAACACATGAATTAGAATACAACTGGGTAACATTCTACCTGAAGCAATTTCTTGCTAGATCAATGAAACTAATTAAGTACTTGTTCATCAGCCTGAATCCAGCCCACATATATCCATGGTCTGTTAGCCTGACTCACTGCAATTCCTAAATTTTTCTTCAACAATAACAGACCCTGCTTTCCAGTCATGTTGTCCTGTTTGGATCCCACTTACGACTTCTCGAAGCAGGGGACAAAGTCTGGGGCTTTGAGGAAGGTGCTATGAACACCCTGAATATTTCCATCATTTATTGTGTAAAGGAAATCTGACACGTCGTTCTGGGTCCAGTGGGGACCTAGCACAAACAGTTTATAATAATGGCAGTGAGAAAGTACATGGTTACCTAATTTTCTTGGCAAATGACTCCCCTAAATTTTACTGTTGTAGATTGGGCTCTGAGGTTTCTCTAGACCTTGAGACGCATAATTCTCCCAAGACAACTCAAAGATTGTCCTGGAGGTTATAGAGCCCTCAGTTATAAGTAATTTTAAAAAATAAAGTTTTATTGCTTCTTCGTGCTGCTTTCTTCTGAGCTCATTTAAAATAGTAACATCATGATAAAATTAGATTTTAAAAAAGGGCTTCTAAATTTGATAGGAACCAACTGGTATTTTATAATTCTATGAACTGAAGGAATTAAATTCCAAATGGCAAATTAGTTCCAGTCTTAGAAAAGATTTTTAAAATCATGATAAATTCCTGCTGTTTCCTGCCGAGATACTATGACAGTCTGGGAGAGACAGCCTCACCTTCTCTGGCTCAGTCTCTCAAAGACACAGGTTCATTCTAGATGTCTCCCCTGGAGCTTCAGAATGAAGCCTGCAGCCCGCAGGGCACTGAGGCCATACAGAGCCGGCCTCTGTCTGCTTTTCCACTCCCTGCAGCCTTTGAGGCCCTGGAGCCCATGCCACCTTGCTTACCACTGGCTCCCACGCCTGGCACACAGCAGGTGTCACTAAGCACACACTGAGCCTGGAAGCCTCTGTCCCACCAATGCCCTTCCACAATAAACCCACCTTGCCAACAGGGATCCTGGGAGGTCCCACTCCCTCTGAACCCCTTGCCTTTGCTCATACTGGCTCCTCCCCACTGCCTGCCTGCCCCAGGCAGCCTCCTGCCTAGGGCTACCCACCACTGCCCCTCTGCCAGGTAAGGTGATGTCCTGTGCTGGGGCCCAGCACAGGGCATCACCATCTTCTGCTCTTCTCTGCCCTCCTGCACAACTGTTTAGCCCTTCAAGGCAGGGACCAGGTCAGATGTCACTAAGTCCCTAGGGCCCAGCACACAGTAAGTGCACAGCAAATATCTGTTACATGGTTGGATGGATGGATGGATGGGTGGGTGGATGGATGGATGATCAACCCATTTGAATATAAACAGGATGGCACTTAATCTGCTTCTGTAAATCCGCACAGCACTGGGGGCCCACCATAATAGAGGTACACATGGGCTGAACCAGGCCTCTAAGCTGATTCCTGGGATGCTCCTTTTGTGAAGGTGAAGCTTCAGCTCTGGGCCTTCAAGGCCTCTTCTGTACTGAATTCAAATCAGTATTCACTTTGCTTCCTAGTTTTGTGTTCATAATTTTGCATGCTTTTTCTTAAAGGGGGGCCCCATATTGTACAGACTTCAAGCCCCACAAAACCTGGATCTGCCCCATCTGTACAAGTTTACTTATAACTGGAATTTGTTGCCTACCTCTGAAAATCTGGAGATTTCAAATAAAAATCCAACTTTCTGGTTTCTTTTTTAAAAAATTCATAAGTGGAGCACCACCAGCCATAGAGATAGTGGGGTACAGTCCCCAGGGCTGAGCCACAGTTGTCCTTTAGATACCAAAGGTGCCTTCCAGCATGCCAGAGGCCCTATCTCTCCCTTCTCTCTCAAGCTATGTGATTTTCTTTTCTTTTTTCTTTTCTTTCTTTTTTCTTTTTTGAGATGGAGTCTTGCTGTTACCAGGCTGGAGTGCAGTCGTGCGATCTCAGCTCACCGCAACCTCCCTCTCCCTGGTTCCAGCAATTCTCCCAAGTACCTGGGATTAGAAGCACATGCCACCATGCCCAGCTAATTTTTGTATTTTTAGTAGAGACGGGGCTTTACCATGTTGGCCAGGATGGTCTCGATCTCCTGACCTCGTGATCTGCCCACCTTGGCCTCTAAAAATTCTGGGATTACAGGCTTGAGCCACTGCCCCCAGACACTATTTTATTTCTTTCTTATGGGAAATGCCAGTGTGTTTTGCCTTACCGTGTGGCAACAGCTTCTCCTGGGTAGTGGATGCTCTTGAAAACCAATGCGAATGCACCTTCCTGAAAACACACAAACAAACTTAGAGTCAACTCATTCCATCAGCCATGGTGCTGCAGCCTGGCCACGCCCCAGATGGGTCTCCCTGGGCCCCTCTTCCTGGTGGGAGGTCCCGGGGTCCCTCAGGGAGCTGAGTGCAGGAACAGCGCCTTTGGGGTAATGTCATGAGGGAAAGCAAAACAGACAGTGTCCCAGGAAGTACCGCAGACCAACATGTGTGAATTCCACGGTGAGCAACGTGCAGCATGCTTGCCCAGGCCCACAGGGAGCCCAGCGGGGTGCCAGCTGGGTGGACAGGGGCAGTAAGAGTCACAGGAAATGACAGCTGGGACCAGGCTGCCCTGCCCTGCTCAGGGATCGCACCTACTCATCAAGCCCCTGTGAACTGCACTTTAGCTCAACACGAGGTTGGTTTGTGGAAAGCTGGAACTAGAATCCAGTTCCAACACAAGACTCCAGAGGCTTTTTCTACTTAAATTCTTGGTGCAAAAGTCTCCCCTAGATCTTGACTATCCTGTACCAATTTACCACAACCCTAGCTGAGCTCAGTTATATATAAACAGCTGCAAATCTGAATTTTGACATGAAATCCTCCCAGTGTGGGAGCCGTGGGCAGCCCCAGACCTGTGTGGTCAGCATGTCGGGTTTGAGGTTGCCAACTCAGCTGCAAGGCTAGAGGAACCTGAGTTCGCGTCCCCAGGCCTCAGCAGGGCTTTCAAACTGCCCCAAACCAGGGGGCTTCAGGCAGACGCTGCTGCTCTTGTCAACAATAAAAAAAAAAAACAGGCCGGGTGCGGTGGCTCACGCCTGTAATCCCAGCACTTTGGGAGGCCAAGGCGGGTGGATCACGAGGTCAAGAGATCGAGACCATCCTGGTCAACATGTTGAAACCCCGTCTCTACTAAAAATACAAAAATTAGCTGGGTGTGGTGGCGCCTGCCTGTAATCCCAGGTACTCGGGAGGCTGAGGCAGGAGAATTGCCTGAACCCAGGAGGCGGAGGTTGCGGTGAGCCGAGATCGCGCCATTGCACTCCAGCCTGGGTAACAAGAGCGAAACTCTGTCTCAAAACAAACAAACAAACAAACAAAAAAAACCACGCTGCTCCTTCTCTGCCAAAAAGAGCCCTGTACTCTCCCAGACGGGAAAAGTCTTAAGTTTAAGTGTTACTATGAGAGAGTATTTCTGAAATTTCAAAATAAAAATGGAAAAGAAAAAAACAGCGTGCTATAATACCTAACTGGCTCAATGTACATTATCCAGTGCATTAAGTGTGGGATAAGCTGTTATTTATAAACACATCCTCTAAATCACGGACCTCCAAAAACGGGAGAGGACAAAAAGGGTTTCAACAGTAGACTTCCTTTTTAAATCAGACCCTGAAAACACCTGCTAAAGAATAATATATTTTAAGCCACAAGGTGGTGCCTGCCAAATGTTCTGGACTCCAGGCCAGTGTCCCGGCTGCCATGGCCCTGGGGGAACTATTGGGTGGCACTGCCGCCTGGGAGGATGGGCTCTGAGAGGCCTGGAGCCCTCTCCTCCTACCTGGCCCCATATGGGCCTGTGTCTGCTCCACCTCCTCCTCAGCATGGGGGTCTCCCCTTGGAAAATACCCCCAGTGTGTGCTCCCTTCTCAGGGACTTCAGCTCCCTGGGCCCTGTCCTCCGGGATGTCACCGATCTCTCTCCTTCTCTCCCTCTTTTGGGCCATTCTGTTCCTCATACAGACGTGCTCTGATAGGGCTATCACAAAAACAGGGTGGGTATGATGGCTCATGCCTGTAATCCCAGCACTTTGGGAGGCCAGGCAGGTGGATCACTTGAGGTTAGGGGTTTGAGACCAGCCTGGTCAACACGGTGACACCCCGTCTCTACTAAAAACACAAAAATTAGCTGGGCATGGTGGTGCATGCCTGTAGTCCCAGCTACTTGGGAGGCTGAGGCAGGAGAATTGCTTGAACCTGGGAGGCGGAGGTTGCACTAAGTTAAGATTGCACCACTGCACTCCAGTCTGTGTGACAGAGTGAGATTCTGTCCGTCTCAAAAACAACAACAACAACAACAACAAAAATGCAAAATGACATCCTCCCTTGGTACCACAACCCTCTCCTGCACACCACCACCAAGTTCACGTGTGCATTGTAAGAAGTCATAGACTCTAATGCTAGTCACAATTTTAGAAGTGTCAGAATGAAGCAGGGCACTTTCTACTCGATGTCGATTAACCAAACCACAGAATGTCTTCCAGGTCTACAAGAGTGTAGTATCTTAAGGTCAGACACTGTAAATGAGCTGTCTTTTATCCTCAGGACTGTGTGCAAGTTTATCTAATAAGGGATTCCAAAAAATAATGGATTCCTTGCCACTTGCTGCTTGAAAAAAAATGTTTTAAATAAAAAAATGAAGGAATGAGTTAGACAGATGGGATTTGTAACTCACCAACTGCTGAATGACTCTCTCGACCAATGTTGAAAACGTAATGTCCTCAGTTTCTCTGTTGTCGAACACATACTTAATCAGCTTGGCGATGGTCTCTGTATCTGTTTCTGACTCAAACTCGTAGCCTTTGCTTTCCTGGAATATGCAGTCGACAGAGTGTGTGAGAGTGGTCATCGGGCAACGCCCGCCTGGCCAACTCCCTCTCATCCCTGATGATCTATGCTTGGAGTGACTTAAGTCAAGAACAGGGAAAACTGGGAAGGGACAAAAAATGTCTGCCAGCACCGCACAGCCAAACACCTCTGAGTCATTCCAGGGTGCCCCGAGATCATCCCACCTCAGAAGCTCGCCCTTGCCACTAATCTAGACATTGCAAAATAACAGCAGTCAAAATGATAAAATAGGTTGAGTCAAATCCACCCACATCCCAACCATCACCACAAAGCCATTCAAACTTTAGACACTGTCTGACTTCCCACTCCAACTCCGAGGCTGGGTTATATAATGCAGACACTTTAATACAACTCAGTTCCTGTTATTTTGATTCTGGGAATCTGCAGCACCCCTTGAGATAAACACTAATGCCCTGTTATCTCCTCAGACGAGATCTGCAGGGCCTGGCTCAGCCAAGGCAGAAGTTTCTGCTCAACATGGTGACGTGGCTGAGTGTGGGTCTCAGTTCCCACGCTGGTTTCCGTGAGGAAATGAGTTAGTTGGAAAGTTTCTGGGGAGACCAATACCATGGAACTGAGACATTACCTAGGGGAAGCATCTTACCAGAAATTTCCTCAGATCTTTGTAATTTGTGATGATCCCATTGTGGATGACAACAAATTCTGAAAGAAAAGTTAAGAGAGAAATGCTATTGAGACGGAAGTTCAAGTCAGATGTGAAGAGAGATAATTTCAAGGCTTGAGAACTCTCTGCAAACTCCAGGCCCACAAAGACTTAGGTGCACGTTGTTTACAGTGATTAGCACTGATAGCTACTGATAGCTACTACAATGGAAACAGGGATTAGCACTGATGTCTAGACTGCAGCAGCTACTACAATGTGAATCCCAGGAAATACATATCTCTCTTTCGGTGACCTGCAACCACCAGCCTGACCATGCAGAGAGCTCTCCCCTGTGTGCTACTGTAATGTCAAACAGGCTTTGGGGTTCATGTCTAGTGGCAATAATGAAGCCTTCATTCCAGAAATGATTCCAGGGATTCCCAACTAACTTGAGGCATTTCCAACTGACAGTCCAGCCACATGCTTTCTTTATTTGACCCACGCTGTGTTGTAAAAATATTTGTGGGTTTTTTTTTTTTTTTGAGACAGAGTCTTGCTCTGTTGCCCAGGCTGGAGTGCAGTGGCGTGATCTTGGCTCACTACAACCTCCACCTCCTGGGTTCAAGTGATTCTCCTGCCTCAGCTCCTAAGTAGCTGAGACTACAGGTACCCGCCACCACACCCGGGTAATTTTTGTATTTTCTGTAGAGATGGGGTTTCACCATATTGGCTAGACTGGTCTCGAACTCCTGACCTTGTGATCCGCCTGCCTCGGCCTCCCAAAGTGCTGGAATTACAGGCATGAACCACCACAGTTGCCCCAGTATTTGAGTTTTTAAAATTCTGAGTGTTCACTTTAAAATCTTGGTTTTCTTGGGGGAAAAAATCCCAGAAGTTCTGGGATCCCCAAGCTCAGCCACATTCCTGCACAGCAGGATCTGCTGGCTGCAGCTTCTCCCACCTCCCCCAGGCCTGCCACACATCCTGCTCATGTGGGTGGCTTCCTGCACAGGTGGCACCCCCACCGACCCTGGGGTGCAGTGAGGGATGTGTTTGCCTCCACCCCACTGCATTTTCTCAATGAATAGCGTGTGCATGAGTGCCTTAAGGGAAAGGTCCAAGGCCAGCCTGAGAATTTTTCTGGCCAAGTAGCCCCCCTTTCCTCTGCTCCTAGAGGACAGAAAGATTCCCTATTGCCCTTGAGGTTCAATAATTCCACCAGGAGGTATCTAGATGTTGGATGCACTGCATAAATATTGACAATTTCTTTTTCAAAGCATCACTGTGAAGTCTTATTTATTATTATTATTATCATCATTATTTTGAGACAGAGTCTCGCTCTGTCACCCAGGCTAGAGTGCAGTGGTGTGATCTTGGCTCACCACTCCTTGGTTCAAGTGATGCTCCTGCCTCAGCCTCCTGAGTAGCTGGGATTTCAGGTGCCTGCTACAATGCCTGGCTATTTTTTGCATTTTTTAAGTAGAGACAGGGTTTCCAAGTGTTGGTTAGGCTGGTCTCGAACTCTAGACCTCAGGGGACCTCCCACCGGCCCCCCCTTGGCCTCCCAAAGTGCTGGGATTGTAGGCATGAGCCATCGCTCCCCGCCTGACTATTTTTGATCCCTTCTTGGGATCTGCAATTCAAGTTTTCCTTCAGTTGAGCAAAGATTTCTCCTACAGCATCTTTTAAAACCTTTTCCACTATCCTTTTTCTTTATTCTCACCATGGTTTCCTCTACTAAAAAAAAAAAAAATCATATTGTTTGTTTTGTGAGGTTACACCCAAAAATGGGAGGGCTTGAATAAGAAAAGCCCAGTTTCAACAGACGTGCTGACTTCTCTGTGCTCTGGTTGCTTCTTGGGCACACCGGTTACCCATATGCTGAATCCATATTAACTGGCTCCCCTTCCCCACTTTTTTCATATCTAGGGTAATACAGTTTCTTTACACTATTCTCTTATTTCTTAATTCTGTCACATTTTCTTTTATCTCTCCATGATCCTATCATTAACTTGTTTTCTAGAATCCATGTTGTCTATGCAAAATCTTTGTGTAATGCCCTTGTGCAGTGTAGTTGCTGGGTGTTCAGACTTCCTTCAAAGCATGCTCTTCAGCTATCACTGCTGAGCTGTTCATGAAATTTTTAAATCTTTGCTTATTGCCCTGTTCTTTTCTCTTCAATTACTCATCCTGAGTCAGGGCTAGAGTGTCCAAGTTTGGGTGTGGGTGGGTCTTTTGGAGCCTCCCTGCTTTGGGGACATAGAATCATTGTCTGCACTGAAGTGGGGGGTTTTCTGATGAGGTTCATTTTGTCACTTGGGAGAGCAGGAGGCTGTGGCTGAAGTGGCAACATCTCAGGACACACGGTCTAGGTGCAGTGTTTTCTCAGCCAGCATGACTGCTCCAGGGACCAGCTTCTGCATCTGACCTGGGCTCTGGCCAGATGTACATTCTAGGTCCTCGGCACCATGGGATCTGCGGTCCTCCTCCTGGATACAGGGTATGTGCTTCAGTCATGAAATGCCCTGTGGTTCAAGGCATGGGCTAGACCCAAGGAACAGGCGCCAGCAAAAACCTCATTCCCTCAAGACTCTGACCACGTGGATACACGAGTAGCCCTGACTCCTGTGCTACTACCAAGCTACTCTGCTGAGCAGGGTGGGTGGAGCCCTCCTTTCATTCTCTGGGGGACGCCTTCCCTTCCAAATTGGGCAGGGTGAGCTGGTGAAGCCCTACAGAATGCTTTGGGGAGAAGCTGTACCACCATACTTTCTGCTGGTGGTGGGGGTGCCTGCTCATGCCCCCGTCACATCTACAGTGAGTAGGGGACAGCAAGCAGGGTGGGGCTGCGCTCCAGTGGGCTGACTTCCACAAGGATTAACTGCAGTGGGACTTGTCAAGCATCAAGGCTTAGTGCCTGCTAATAAGCCCCCAGTAACTGCTCTGATGTATTTGGTCCTATCCAACATTAGGCTTGGCAAGAACTTACACTATGCCAGAGGATGTCTTGGGGGGAGGGGTCTGGCTGACTCCAGAAATCAGTCTCTTTGCTATACACCCTCCCCTGGCATGTCCAGGTTGGGGGCTTCAGTGGCTCAAGACCAGACCAGGCCTCACCCTGGAAGGCCCACGTTATGTCCTAGACTCTTGCCTGCCCTTGAAGGCCTGGGAGGCGACAGGGATTAGATCCTCTCTCCCGCTGCTCCATGCCCACTGCATCCCACTGCATCCCACTGCAGGAGGCCCAGCACCCTGGGGGCTGACCACAGACCCCTGAGAGCTGCCACCAGGAACTGCGGACCTACTAGTCTTTCCTCCATGAGTCTGGACTTTCATGCACAGTGACTCTCAATTTTTAAAAACATGAAGCAAGCTGAGCTGGGGGCTCTCCACCTGGGAAGAGCCCTTGGGCTTCTGGCTGCAGCCCCTTCTTCTCTAAACCTTAAGCCCCTGGCTGCAGAGGTCTCCTGCTGGGCCCCATGGTGCTTCAGACACCAACCAAGACCAGTACAGCACCTGCCCTCACCCGGACCACTCTGCGGGGAAGAGGTGGGTTTAGCTGCATGAGGACAGAACCCATCCTTCCCTGAAGGGCACAGCCTTCGGGAACATTTCCATCTCTCGGGGAGGAACAGTGCCCAGGCCCCTCAGTCCCTCACGCGGCCTCATCCCACTCACGGGCTGGGTTCCAAGGAGCTAGCAGCTCTCCTGGTTAAGTCTTCCTGCGCATTCTCGGGAGGCCAGCCCCACCCTGGGACCAGGCTGCCTGCCTCCTGAGGCCACCAGCAGAGCTCCGGGATACCGGACATCTGCATTCTCTTGGGAAGATGAAGCAGGCTGAGCAGTCAGTTACAGGTGGGCGTGGAACTTGCTCTGGCAGGGATTGGCCCTGACGCAGCTCAGGGTGAGGTGGAACCATGGGGACGGGGAAGCATGCCACGTACCAGTTGCCTTTGTCCGAGCGCTGGGGGTGGCTGTTGACGGCACTGGGGACCCCGTGGGTGGCCCAGCGAGTGTGGGCAATGCCGAAGTGTGTTTCAAACTCCACTTTTAAGTCCATGCTGTCTTGTTCTAAATGGAAGGAAAATCAGTTTGCTGCACTTTAACAACAATCCTTGATCTGGGACTGTGAAGTCGACCTGGTGTCGTTACACCGAGTCACATCACCCGCCAGGTAGGGGCTCTTGCTGGTGTTGCACCCCGGACTCCTGGGGTGAGGTATGGCAGGTCCCACCACGGGAGTCTGGGCTGGCCCACGAACCACCTGTGCTGAGGACTATTTACTACTTCTCTGTAATTTAGCTCACTTCTTCACAGAAATAAACTCACTTTAAAAAGAAAATGATTATATCCCTACTACAAACAGAAAAGCAGTATTGTTCGCCAGAATAATTAAAATAACTACTGCATGTAACTATTAACACTTAAAAAAAAAATGGCTGGGCCCAGTGGCTCACGCCTGTTATCCCGGCACTCTGGGAGGCTAAGGCAGGCGGATCATGAGGTCAGGAGATCGAGACCATCCTGGCTAACATGATGAAACACCGTCTCTACTAAAAATACAAAAAATAAGCTGGGCATGGTGGCAGGTACCTGTAAACCCAGGAGGCTGAGGCAGGAGAATCACTTGAACCTGGGAGGCGGAGGTTGCAGTGAGCCGAGATCACACCACTGCACTCCAGCCTGGGCAACAGAGTGAGACTCCGTCTCAAAAAAAAAAAAAAAAAAAAAAAAAAAATTATCCACGTGCTGCCACCACCTAAAATAAACCATCCCACACCCTGTGAAGCAGTTTTACAGCATGGGCTTAACGCTCCTTCTGTTTATCTGAACTGGGACGAGTGAAGACTTTTGGTCTCCCGTGCTTTTGGAATACAATCCTATAAAGCGGCTCCTGCTGCACTCCCTCCTCCGACTCAGAGGCCTTCCACTTACTGTAAAGTTCTTCATCCAGAGCTTTGACTTTGCCCCTTTTCTTGACCAGCTGAATGTGTCTTTCTTTGACTTCGTGATTATTCCCATCGATTGCCACACCTGTGATGTAGACATTATTTGTTATTTGGGGACTTAAGCTTTGTCTCACACACCTGGCACGGGTGCTCTGCAGGGTCAGGGCGGCACGCCCCGGGCAGTCTGTTAATGGCAGGTTGGAGAGCTGCATAGTTTTCAGGAAATCTACTTTGAAAGAAGAGGCTGTGACCATGGCCATGCTTAACAGCAAGTAGGGAAGCTCCTGCCTCCTCCTGGGCCACAGCTGCCTCCAGTCCCGTTCCTGCCCAGGGTGAGCCCCTCGGGACGCTTCCGCACCGCAGGCGATACCAGGCCTCCGCTGATGGCAATGGCCCAGGCAGGGGATTTATCCCAAGGGCTCTCCGCATTGTGATATTGTTGCCAGTATCTCCACTGCATTAGTGTTCCTCCCATCGGACTTGCCTCCTGTTAAGAGTTGACAGGGATCTAAAATCATCTGGCTCCCCTCTCTCCTCGGGCTGCGTAATTACACAGGGTTAACAGATTAAATGTCCACCTCTGTAGTGAATGGAGGCCTGAACTCTGAGACAGCCACCCAGTGGAGCATCGTGTAGCCACTGAGAAAGCTACTTAGAAAGAGTTTAGAATCATAGAAATGCTCAGTGAAAAGAGAAGAATGTAAAATCACAAAAGCGCGCAATTATAATTCGGTAAAAACAAAAAATGTCGGCGTATAACACCTCTACCCTCCTCCGCCGCAGACCGTCCCAACAGACAACAGCGACCAGAGACAAATGCAAAGACTGACAGGGGTCGTTTTTTTAATGAAGCCACCTCACTGAGGTAGGGCTGACACACACAAAGCTGTGCATAATGTCTACAACTTGATGGGCTTGGAGTCAAGGACACCCCCATGAAACCACCACCGCAGGCTGCGCCATAAACCTATCACCTCGGGAGCTTCCTCCTGCCCTCTTTAGGCATTGTTGTGTGTGATAGGAGGACTTAACATGAGCTCTACCCTCCTGGCTGGGCTCACTGGCTGACACCTACGATCTCGGTGCTTTGGGAGGCTGAGGCAGGAGGATCACTTGAGCCTATGCTGGGCAACACAGTGAGACCTCATCTCTACAAAAAATAAAAAATCAGCCGGGTGAGGTGGTGTGCACCTGTAGACCCAGCTGCTGAGGAGGCTGAGGATTGTGTGAGGTTACGAGTTTCAGGCTGCAGTGAGCCAATTTCTTGGAACTGTACTCCAGCCTGAGCGACAAAAAAATAAAAAATCTACCCTTTTGGCAAATTTTTACGTGAACAATGCAGTGTTGTTACGGTCAGGCACCGCGCTACAGAGCAGCTGTCCAGGACTTACTCACACTGTGTGGCTGCAGCCTTGTACCCTCTCTGCTTCCTGATGGGGGGACTTTTGAGGAAGGGACTTGTCTGGTTTTTTTTTTTTCACTCTTGTTTCTTCTTTCTATTTTTCTAAAGGTTTCAAATTTCTTTACCGGACAGTGTTATTTTTATATTGAAAAGAAACATAAAGAGGTAGCAGAAAAAGGCCCGGGTTGTAAACCCCTTACAGAGGAGACGGGTGAGGGCAGAGCAGGGAAGCCCCGTCCCCAGAAACAAGGCAGGCGGCCGCAGACCCACCTGCTGAGTCGTAGCCTCTGTACTCCAGCCGCTGCAGGCCCTTGATGAGGGTTTCAAAGATCTCCTTCCTTGTCCGGGGGACTCTGTAGTTCATGTAGGCAAAGATTCCTGTTCAAAGAGAGAAAAAAAAAGGAGCATTCATAAAATACTCGGTTCCTGTTTGGAAGAAAACGCTTCTGGGGATGCACCAAGGTGGCATCACAAAGGGCTCCTGGGGGCTTGCAGAGGTGGCTGTGGGCCTGCCCGGGCACAGCTGAAGAATGGTGCACCCCTTCCTCCCCCGAGACCAAAAAACCCCAGAAAGCCTGTGCCACATGTCTTCGGCTGGCAGTTCCACCGCTGAGAACTTATCCTGTGCTGTACTTGCAGGAGGCAGCTTTTACTGTGACAATGTCCATAATAGCAAAGGCCGGCAATGAAACTCAACTACCTTGGGACATCCGCAAGTCCCCACCTCCATGCACTCCACGATGTGCAGAGCACACATCTAGGAACGCCACAGGAAGTGACAGCAGTCCCTGGGGCAGCTGGGACAGGCGCTGGGGTCTTCACTTCCACGGGCCCCCGCCATACGGCAGGAGCTTGCCCTTAAATAAGCACTACTTTTACGACAGCAAGAATAAAACCATCTCATGCCCCTTGGCCCCTGCAGAATCCTTTTGTTGAAGGTAGGCCTATGAGCCAAGAAGATTTCGTTCCACTTGACTTTCTGTATTTGTATTTCAAAATAAAATTTTTCCAAACAGGAAGTCAGCTGCTGTGTTGGTTCTGCCTTCCAGAGTCCTCCACTCCCAGTTTGTGATGAGGGATCCTTGATTTCCTCTCTCCTGCCCTGCGCACACCCCATCCTGTCATCCCTCTGTGCTTTCATCCTCTCCCCCGCCGCTTAGGAAAACCTCCCCACCACAAAGCTCAGCTCCAGTCCCCGCCCCGGGCAGATGTGCCTCCTGCAAGTACAGCATAGAAGATTTATTTTCCCACCTCAGTGCTCTCACATCATGGGACACCCACAGTCCCCACCAAGGGCAGGCTGATGCTTCTATCTTTGTACTCCTCAGTGTGTGTGCACCCAGTCCTGTTCAATAAATGTGGAACAGAGTAAGTGATGAGTGTGTATCTGTATCCACGGAGGGAAGCAATAGTAGGGATCATAGAAACGTCACTGGGTTTCAGGCACATTCACAGTAACTGTCCTAGTTGGCTTGGGCTGTTGTAATAAAATACCACAGACGCCTGGGTAATAAGCCACAGAAATTTATTCTTACAGTTCTGGAGGCCGAGAAGTCCAAGATCAAGGTGCCGGTAGATTCAGTGTCTGGTGAGGGCCCGTTCCTCACACAGTGACTTCTCATTCCAACCTCATATGGTGGAAGGGGCGGGGTCTCTCTGGAGTTTTTAAATAAGGGCACGCTCATCCTACTGGTGAGGCCCCTGTCCCCATGACCTAATCACCGCCCCAAAGCCCCACCTCCTAAGAACATCACCTTGCAGGTGAGGATTTCAACAGATGGATGACGGAGGAACACAAACTCTCAGACCACAACAGCAACTCTCCTGATGGAGAACTCCCTGTGGGCCGGGCACTGGGTCACCGCAGGGTCAGCCTGTGTTCGAAACAGCCTCCGAGGGTAGTCCATGGCCCTCCTCCTACCTAGTGGACCAGAGCCTGGGGAGCCTGTGACCCATCCAGAGGCAGAGTGGAACCAAGAAACCCCGACTCAGGACTTCAACACTCCTATCCACTGGCCGGCGCCCCGGGATGAATGCCGCCAGGGTTACAAAAAGGTTTATCTTCCCAACTACGTTCTGCTGGGATGAGAGAAAGGTCTGACCAGGATTGAAATTTTTCCAGAGGTGAACCCCAGAGAGGACAACCTGCCCACAGATAATGGAGGGCTGACTGTCATTACACAAGAAACCGCTTGGAATATCTATGGCCATTGAGAAGACTGGATTCCTGTTAATGTGTTACATCTGAATAAATGATTAAACTTCAATGAAATGAATACTATATTCCTAAACAGTGAGCAAGGTCCCACCATATAAAGTTAATGAAATTAATCTATAAACAGTCAAAAATAGGTAATAAAATTAAATAGTACTATAAATTATACTTAACATTTTTTTACTTTTTAATTTAAAAAAAATCTATTTTTACTGTATGGCAAATGCATATACTTAACGTTCTTACTGTAACCTACTGTACACAGGATATGTTTGCACACGTTTTAAGGTAGGGGATTTATATATAAAAATATGTACACTGTGCTTTCTAAGCAGTTACAGGCATTTTCTTTTAAAATCAGCCAAGGGCAATTTTCTCAGGAGGCTATTTTTATCCTCCTTGCTGTCTTTAGGTCAGGTGAGAGGAGCTGAATGTAAGAGCTGTGTGTGCAGTTCAGGCTCTTCTCTGGCGGGGCTGAAGTGCCCCAGTGAGGGCCGCCGCAGGGCTGCTGCTAAGTATTTATGGATCCAGAAGCTCACACGATAGCCCCTAAACATCTGGGCATGGGGGGTACTTTTGTCACCTTATTTTTTAAAAAGATAGTTATTTTTTTATATGGTTTGGCTGTGTCCCCACCCAAATCTCATCTTGAATTGCAGCTCCCACAATTCCCATGTTATAAGAGGGATCTGTTAGGAGGTAAATTAATCATGGGGGTGGATCTTTCCTGTGTTATTCTCATGGTGGTGAATAAGTCTCAGAGATCTGATAGTTTTATAAAGGGGAGCTTCCCTGCACAAACTCTTCTCTTGTCTGCTACCATGTGAGATGTGCCTTTCGCCTTCTGCCATGATTGTGATGCCTCCCCAGTCATGTGGAACTGTAAGTCCCTTAAATCTCTTTCTTTTGTAAATTGCCCAGTCGTGGGTGTCTCTTTATCAGCAGCATTAATATGGACCATACGTCCCGGTGTGGTGGATCACGCCTGTAATCCCAGCACTTTGGGAGGCCAAGGTGGGCAGATCATCTGAGGTCGAGAGCCTGACCAACATGGTGAAACCCTGTCTCTATTAAAAGTACAAAGTTAGCTGGGAGTGGTGGCAGGTGCCTGTAATCCCAGCTACTCGGGAGGCTGCGGCAGGAGAATAATTTCAACACAGGAGGTGGAGGTTTCCGTAAGCCAAGATCAAGCCATTGCACTCCAGCCTGGGCAACAAGAGCAAAACTCAGTCTCAAAATAAATAAATAAATAAATAAATAAATAAATAAATAAATAAGAAAATGGACTAATATATCTTCTAATGTCAATGTTTAAAAATTTTGGCCGGGCATGGTGGCTCACACCTGTAATCCCATCACTTTGGGAGGCCAAGGTAGGTGGATCATGAGGTCAAGAGATTGAGATCATCCTGGCCAACGTGATGAAACCCCATCTCTACCGAAAATACAAAAATTAGCTGGGTGTGGTGGTGTGTGCCTGTAGTCCCAGCTACTTGGGAAGCTGAGGCAGGAGAATGGCTTGAACCCAGGAGGCGGAGGTTGCAGTGAGCCGAGATCTCACCTCTGCCCTCCAGCCTAATGACAGAGTGAAACTCTGTATCAAAAAAAAAATTAACAGCTTTTTGAGATAAAAGTTTTGAGATGCTATGTACTATAGCATCCTCCCATCTAAAGCATGTGATTCAGTGGTTTAGTATATTCAGAGTTGTACAATCATCACCACCGATGTTTAGGTGAAACTTTTTTCTTTTTGAGACAGGGTCTCACTCTGTTGTCTAGCCTTGAATGCAGTGGTATGATCTCCGCTCACTGTAACCTCAAACTCCTGGGCCCAAGCTATCCCTCCTGCCTTCGCCTCCCAAAGTGCTGGGATTCCAGGCATAAGCCACAGTGTCCAGCCTAGGTGAAACTTTTCATAACATTAATTTTTCCCTGCCCAGACCAGAAAGTTCCCTGTGGGGACATGGTCAAATTCTGGTCAATGTAAAGATCACAGAGCCATGGGAGACAGTTAAGCAAAGGAGGGAACAACTCAGTAAAATCTTTGTTGGAGTCTTTTACACTAAACTTTCCTGGCATCCTGGGCTGGGAATGTTCTAGAATTATACCTGTACCTCCCTAAGGGAAGCAGACAGGCAAAGGTCCAGAGACGTACCCATCACCAACTCTGAAAAGGTTTTGCGTCTGAATGGTGTTCCCGAGTGCTCCAAGAGTCAGCTCTGGAACTCTCCCCTGCAGCTCCCCCTCTTCCCAGCCATGCTTCACTCCTGCATACAGGTCAGGCACGAACTTCTGCCACGCTCAGTGAGACGATTCTCACTTTCAGACCCACGACAGCTTCCTGGACAGCAGCGGGGATGTAAGCAGTCCTTGTCCCCAGGACCACCAGTGTGTTTGCACTCAGCCGGGAGGCCCGGTGGCCACTCAGGCACCGCGTGGGAGCGGACTGCAGTGAGAAAAGCTGCCAAGGAGTGGTTTTCATCGTCTTTGCGCAAGAAAGCATAAATCTCATTTTCACCGTGAGCCCTCTTGCGTAGTGACATCTCTTCAGTAATCTCTTTCACGAAGGAAGCTCTGTTTCTTTCCTTTTGCAGCTCATCCTCTTGGCTGGATTCTCCATGAGTTCTACTGCACTGAAGTGAATGAAGCAGCAGGCACACTGTGCTCTTATTATATAAAAATAAAACACAATAAAATGAAGCTCCTTTCCCAGGAATTTCTCCTGCTCTTTATGTCAGAATTCCCTTTTGGAACGCTTTCCATCAGTAAATAAAATCAACAATGAGAATCTGTTTTTTCAGACCTATGAGGTCGGTAAAGATCAAACAGTTTGACAGTTTAAGTGAGAGTTTAAATTCACATACCCTCTTTGGAAGGCAATTTGGCAATCTCTCAAAATTAAAAATGTACACATCTGTGGACCAGAGCTGTTGGGCTTCTAGGAAGGTGCCCAGAGGATGTCTTTGCAGGGATGAATGCACGCACGTATGAGGATAGCTGCTCAGGGCCGTTGTGGTTGCCAAAGACTAGCAACAGCCCGATGTCTGGCAGGGGTGGGCAAGGCACAGTGCAGCCACACAGCAGGGCCTTCTGCAGGCAGCCCTCGACAGAGCAAAGGAAAGCTGTGCATTCTCTTGGAAGCCAATCTAAATCTCCAAGCTGT